TGAGCATTCTTTGTGATTTCCTAGAGCTTCCTCCTAACATTGTTTCCCTCTGTGTACAGGCCTTCTGGATTCCCTGCCCGTCTTCCCTGCTGTCTGGATTCCTGTGGATGTGTGTGAGTGAGCATGAGCATTCTGGATCGGACTATCTGAGTGAGCTGTGGATTCAGTAGAAGAGGAGCGTATGTGCGCCTTCCTTGGACTTTCCCTCCCCTTCGGACCCCCCTCCACCCCCCCTGTAGTCCCATGTTATTTGTCTCACTGTATATATGTATATATCCTCACTTGGTGCCACATTGTAAATAACTCCTTCACCTTCTCTCTAAACTTAAGAGTCCTGCGAGTGAGTCCTCTGCTTAATAATCTGTGACAGATACTAAGAAATTAAAACACGAATTTACCCAAAAGCAAGTTTAAAAAGTTGAGTTTTTAGCTGCTTTTTTTTTTTTTAAATAATCCACAACAAACACCTCACTGTTGTCTTACCTGCTCCTTTGACCCATTCAGTACCTCTGTTTCTTTTCCTTCCTTCACAGAAATAAAAAAAGACATATAAAAAATGTCATTTCCTGTGTTGTTTTGAGTTCCATTTTTGTCTGAGGAAAAAGTTATTGACAGAAAATATAATATAAATCATGATGTCAGTGTTCTTTGTCATCCTCACATTGCTTTTAGATTCCAAATTTAATCACTCCGAGTGCAGCTTCAGGTTAAAATCACACCACAGAAGGCGAATCAGCTTCTATTGGACAGAACACTGAACTTGGCCAACAGATTATTTCATCCAGCTTGTTTTCACTGTAACTTTTACTCTTATTGCAGTTCTTTTCCCCAACTGCTTCTCCCACAGTCTTTGCTTCTTTTCATCAGGGTTGCTTTGAGATGTTTGGCTGTAAGCTGTGACTTAAAGGGCCGTGAATGAAAAGTGAACCAGCAGGTCACTAGTTAGTTATGGTCCTTTCCATTTTACTTCAAATTAACACAATATTCAGACTTTATGAAACATGGTATGTTCCACAGTTTCAGCATCAACCAAATACATCATAACAGCCATCAAATCTGTTAGTTTGATTTTAAAAACTTTATACAAGACTGAACAGAATTGTATATGATTTATGAATATTTATATTTACATTACATGTTTGTATCAATCTGGTACTCTGGTATGTCTTATAGCAAGAGAATCAACCACGCTGGCTGATGTGTCCTGGTTTACAGCTCCTGTGTTTCTGT